GCAGAACGTGCCCTCTTTAATACCCATCACCAGGCTAACCCATCCTCCCACCCAGCCCTTTGGTATAGTTGGCTGATTGCCCCCAGGAAGCTCGTACTGACTCGCACTCCCGGCTGGTCGTGAGTGGGGTCGGCTGGGCTGGTGACATCTTTGTTGCTTCGCGCTTCTTCACATTGGGAGAGACCCCGGGCAGGAGGCGGGGGGAGCCGGTGAGGGCAGATGGCTCCGGCCAGGGAGGTTGTCACGACGACAGGCAGGCGGGGACGAAGCGAAACTCGGCGTGGCTGGGGGGATGGGAAGTAATGGACTCCCGTGGCTCCCTGTGCAGTGGCAGCCACCCTCGGGCACACTCAGCCCACCACCCGCTTCTCTAGGCTTCCCGCCCCGCCGCGGCCTCTGCCACCCATTCTCTGCAAGTCCCGCTCAGCTGCTGCGGAGAGAAGCTCCCCAGGCGCGGTGACCCTGTGTGCCTGGTCCAGGGCGTGAGATTAGGCCCATTCCTGCAGCCCTGGGGCGGGGCCAGGGTCCAAGCCCTTTGTGGGCCAGCCAGCCCTTCCAACGGCTCTGCCCACCTTGCTGATAGCGAAAAACGGGGTTTCTCACTCGTCGTCCAGAGATTTCTCTCCTCTCAGACAGAGATGAGGTCGGGAGAGGGAGCAGCATGAGCAAAGGCCCAAAGGTGGGCCTACATGGACCTGAGAAGACAAAGGGGAGCGTGAGGCCCCCCAGGCTTGGAGATTCATCTGTCTCCCCTTTGTTCAGTCCCCAAGCCCGAGGGCGCTCGGCGGCTGGCACCAAAGGCCGAGGCCCCTGAGCTGTGGCAGCCTCGGCAGAAGGACACTGAGCCGGGCTCCCAGGCACACAGGACGAGGTTCATGTGGCCGCGTAGGCAGGCACCTACTCGGTGGGCCAGCCTGTCTCAGCGCTTGGGCAAGAAGGTGACCTGCATCACTGTGGGCCATGCCGGTGAGCGGGGGCGGGGGGAAGAGCAGAAGGCCTGGGTCCCCTAGACACATGGTGGTTCAGTCCAGCCTCCCTGGGACAGGGATAGGACAGAAGCTAGCTCATTTTTCCCTGAAGGCCCCTGACCTCCGCTCCGGGCTGGGCTTCTGCACTCGGGCCCCAGGAAGTAGTCACACTGCTTACAAGAGCCTCCAGCTGTGGGAGAGTCTTGACCCTCAGCGAGGCCCGGCTCCTGTGTTCAGGGAGGGGTGGTACTTGGGACCGGAAGTGCGGGAGAGCTGTGTGGCGGGGACCGAGTCTCAGGTAGAGACACAGCGTGGGCCAAGGCACGGGGTGGGGGCAGGGGGCACTGGAGCCGCTCAGGCTGGCTGGAAAGGTATGTGCTGAGGTCACAGAGGGTCTTCCTTAGAGGCCACCGTGTGCACAGCACCCTGTGGTCAAGGTCAGATCTGGGTTCCGAAAGGTCTCTCCAGGAGCCCTGGAATGTGGGAAAGGCAGTGGTGGCCGCTGCCCAAGGTCACCGCTCCTGAGCTCCCCTCCAGGCCTTGGGCAGGAGGCAGAACGTCCTTTCCGGAAGGAGACACGGGCGCTGGGGCCTGCGGGGGCCTGGGCGTTAGCCTGTGGGTGGGAATCCCAGCTCTGCCCCCAGCCGCACGGGTGACTTGCCCCCCGTTTCTCAGAGGGTTGGCTGTGCTGCCTTGCAGGCTGTGAACAAGGTACGTGCCGCCCAGCTGCTGCAAAGCGGGCACTCGGCGAGCCGTGACCACGGCAGCCCCCCGTGGGCAGGGGAGTGACTGGGCCTCCGGGATGGCGAGCAGGCCCCGTGCCCGCCAAAGCCTTTCCTCTGGCCGGTCTGGGGGCTCGGGGGCCCAGCTGGGTCGGCTTGGCTGGTGGAGCGGGTGCAGAGAAGGGCCGGCCGGAGCCTGGGGTCGCAAGCCCCGCTGCAAGGCGCCCATCCCCCGGCTGGCTCCCCTCCCTGGGCAGGGCAGCTGGGCTAAGTGGAGCCAGGCTCACGGGCCACCAGCATCCCTTCTCTTTCTGGTCCCCTCTGTCCTTCTGTGCGCAGAACGCGGGCACCGCCAGGCAGGACCATTAGCGGGAGAGCAGAAGTTAGACGAAGGAACTCTGTCCGACATATCCATCCAAAGTTCATGCGCTCTTTCCTTCTGAGTCGATGAACCCACTTCTAGAAATCTGTCCTTTGGAAAGCCTAGAACAAGGGCCAAAAGCTGGGAGCCGTCAGAGTGCGCATGGCTGGGAAAGTGACTGGGACCGGCGCTCACCCCCGCCCGCCTGCACCGCCGGAGACTCTGAGGTCACAGAACTAAGGATGGGTGATTTTCGACAGCTGTGTTTGATTTGGTCCGCATAATGTTTTTTTGAAGTGTGAGCCAACATTTAAATACGGGGTGATTGCACACAGACACCCAGATGTCAGATAACCCTTGGTTTGCATTCCTGCTGGGCACCAGCTTGCCCCTGCCGATGAGCTGTGCCCAGCGTTCCCACCATGCCCTGTGGCCTCCCTGACGCGGAGGTGGGGCTCGGGACAGTCACCGTCCCCTTGGACTGTAGCTCTCCTTCGTGAGCATTGTTCTTTATCAAGAACAGAGAAACAGAAGGAGGTTTCCCAGAGCCCTGTGTTTCTGGGACGGTGAGAAGGAGACTGATTCTGGTCCCGTGACTCCCACACAGACCCTGGAGCACTTCACTCATGTATTATTTACCGTTACGCATTAGTTTTTTAAAGATCTGATTTACTCATTTAAGAGAGAGAGAACACAAGCAGAGGGAGAAGCAGACTCCTTGCCGAGCAAGGAGCCCCACACGGGACTCGACCCGAGGACCCCAGGATCATGATCTGAGCTGAAGGCAGATGCTTAACCGACTGAGCCACCCACGCACCCCTCTTTACACATTATTTCTTGTGATATTGACACCTGGCCCCTCTGGGCATTTTGGGTTTGCTACCCTTGACTCATACAAGAGTAACAGGGCCTGGGGTGCCTGGGGGGCTCAGTCAGTTAAGCATCTGACTTGGTTTTGGCTCAGGTCCTGATCTCAGGGTCCTGGGATCGAGCCCCGCGTCGGGCTCCACGCTTAGTGTGGAATCGGCTTCTCCCTCTCTCTCCCTCTGCCCCTCTCCTCTCATGCCCCCGAGGGACCCGCCCACAGGGAGAATCCACCTTTTCTGGTTTAGGGACCAGGGAAGGGAAGAGGGCCTCCAGCTGCCCAGGTATTAGAGAACTTTTATTGAGGTATGATTGCACGGCCTCAAATTTACCCACTTTAATGTGATCATTTTTCACTGAAAAAAATCATTTTTTTTGATTAGCGAATTTTTACAGTTGTACCAATATCACTGCGATCTGATTATAGAACATTTCCACCACCTCAGAAAGATCCTTGGTGTCTATTTGTGGTGACTCCCACCACCGGGCAACCACTAACCTGCCTTCTCTGGACAGTTCCCATACACGGGGCATCTTCTGGCTTCTTTCTGGGAACACGGTCTGAGATGCACCGTGCTGCGCCCAGAGCAGCCGTGTCTGCCATTTCAGGGTGGACTTGTGTTCGTGGGTGGGGTCGGGGGGATGCCAGGCTTGACCATGGTCACCGGCGGACGGGCGTTTGGTGGTTTCCGTGTCTGACTATTACAAATGATGCTGATGGCATTCACATCCACGTCTTTCTGTGGCAAATTCCGTGGCCTCCTTGGAAGCTAGGAACCAGCTCTCCTGACCCAGCCCGGGGTCTTCTGTCAACCTCAGGGTCCACGTGCAACCGAGAGTGTCTGGAGGGGAGGGACGAGGTCATCCCACAGGATGGTTTTGAGGTTCGTGCTGCCCGTGGCTGGGGCCACCCAGGCGGTCCAGCCAGCAAGTGGCAGGGCAGCCCCTCTTCCGCCTAAGGACGGCCCTGGCCCAGGGAAAGGAGGCCCCGTAGACAAAAGGATCGACCTCCCATCCAAGCCTCCTGGAATTTGGAGAACTTGGAAAATTGGAAATGTGCATTTATTGTGTCCCAACTGGGTGTCAGGGTCCTTCATGTACACCATTTCCTTTGACCGCCCCCCCCATCATCCCTGAGGTCCAAATCCTCACCTTTGCTCCGAGGAAACAGACTCAGAGGTTGCACGGTGCGCCCAAAGTCTCGCGCACGAAACGGTCCATCTGTCGCCACCTACCGCTTGCGGGGCCGGCTCTGTGACCTTGGGGAGATGCCCGGGCCTCCCCGAGCTGCGCTGCCCCATCTGCAAACCGAGGCACCACCCCGTGGAACAGAGTGGGTCCCTGCGGGAGGGATTCGGCACAGCGCCGACACCTGACGAGAAGGAGTGAAGGCTGTCCCTGCAGCTGGGACACTTCTTGGGCTAGTCTGAGCCACTGGGCTCTGGTCCCCCCGTCGGGAGGGCTGTCCTTTCTGCGGCTTTGAACTTCCGTCCAGCTGGGCCTGTCCCCGATTCTCAGCGGGCAGAGGAAGGGTGGGAACGCCGAAGCATGTTGAGGTCTGATGGCCCTGCTCTTCTGAGGCGGGCCTGAACACCACTGACCACCCAGCCTCGAGGGGCAGGTTCCACTGGCACGAAGACAGGAAAAGGTCTTGGCCCTCGGTGCCTCTACGGCCTCCACCTCCTTGCTGTCTCCCTAAGCCTTGCCTATCCTCAGGGCTGTCAGACCTCCTCCTCCAGGCAGCCTCCCAGCTGCCCCAGTCCTGGTCTGCCACCACCCATGGCCCAGCCCCCAAAGCACTGTTGGGACCGGCGGCCCGGGAGGACCAGGGCCTCAGGGGGCAGGGGAGGGGGACCCTAGGCCAGCATGATCCCAGCTGTGGTCTCCCTCCCCCGCAGAGGAGAAGCTGTGGACAACGCGGGCAGACGGACGCGTGCGCACACGCTTTCACCCCACCTGCCCACAGCCTCCTTACACCGTGCACCAGATGTTCTCCGAGACCCTGGACAAGTATGGGGACCTCCGTGCTATAGGCTTCAAGCGCCAGGGCACGTGGGAGCACATCTCCTACTCCCAGTACTACCTGCTGGCCCGAAAAGCCGCCAAGGGCTTCCTGAAGGTGAGGGGCCCCTTGAGATGCAGCCTTTCCCTCCCCAGACCTGCCTTCCAGCTCTGGACCCTCGTAGGTCCCCTCCCTGGCTCCCAACCTGGCGAGCCTCGGGAAGGAGTAACTGTAAAACCACTCCCGTGCATTGGCCCGCTGGGACGCGCTGGGCCCTCCCCACATGCCAGCCTCTCAACACCTGGTTTTCATTCGTGATCACATTCGAGTCGGGCTGGGCTGCCTGCTGGGCTGGGCAGAGGGCCTGACTCCCTGGGAAGGTGCCGAGAGGGGCAGCAAGGGCCCCAGGGCATTCTCCCACTGGGCGCCCTGAGAGGGTGGTCCCTGCGGTCTGGAAGGGGGCCTGGCTGGGAATGAGAGGCCCCCTTCCGGGCCCGCTGACCTGGCCTGTCGGCCTTGGTCCTGGAGCTCGGCCTGGAGCGGGCACACAGCGTGGCCATCCTCGGCTTCAACTCCCCGGAGTGGTTCTTCTCGGCGGTGGGCACGGTATTTGCAGGGTGAGTGGCCGGGGGCGGGGCACAGTCTCCGGTGGGTCGGAGGTGGGCAGAGAGGGGAAAGGGGGTTGTTCGCGTTCTCAGAGGCCCCCATGCCCGGCCCAGACCCCATCTCCTCCCCGGGGGCCCTCTCGGGACCCTCTGCCCCCCTGCCTAGGCAGCAGTACTGAGCTGGCAGGGAAACCCTGCCTGTCCGGGCGTGGCAGCCCCCTGGGGCAGGGCTGCGGGCTGGGCCGAGGGAGAGGCGCTCTGCACCAGTTCGGACACGAACCTCCGGGGGCTCTTGCAGCGGCATTGTCACGGGCATCTACACCACCAGCTCCCCCGAGGCCTGCCAGCACATCGCCCATGACAGCCGTGCCAACATCATTGTGGTTGACACACAGAAGCAACTGGAAAAGATCCTGAAGGTTTGGGGCCAAGGGGAAGTGGGCACGGGGCCAGAGGCCAGGTGTCCTTGTGGACCTCCAGCTTACAAAGGACTTTCCCATCCTCCCTTCCGGGGTCCCCCTCCTCCTCACGGCAACCCCATGACACACAGATACACGCAGAACAAGGCAGGGCAATGGGTACCTCACCACTGGCCAGCTCCGGACCCTGAGGACCAGGCAGCCCAGGACAGGGTGACAGCCTTGGGCTAGGGCCACCAGCTGGCCCACTGCCTCCTGCGGGCACTGGGGTCCTCTGCCGGTGGCGGGCTGTGTGCCGTGAGGGTGGCCCAGGGCCCGGACACCTTGAGCACTCAAGCCTGGCCTTCAGTGCAGGATCGGGGGTGGGGTAGGGGGCTGCCACAGGGCGGGGGCTGCAAGTCTTCTAAAGTCTTCTAAAGACAGCGGGGGCATAGCAAGAACTCGAAAGCACCCCTTGAGCCAGCCGGATCTCCTCTGCAGAGGGGGGATTCCCTTAAGACCCCTCCCTTGATTGGCGGCATCCCACATGAACCACGGCCAGGGTGTGGCAGCCCAGGGACAGCCCCGAGCCCCAGCCGCACCCACCACCTGCCCCCGGCGTGGCCTTTGGGGGCTCCTTGCATCCCGGAGGCCTCTGGGATTGACTTGGAGGCTCGGCTCTGGTTCTGGAGGTGTCCCTGAGGGTGGGACAGTGGGATCTGGATGCCCAGAGGGGCGGCTGGACCAGGGGCCCCCCTCCATCTCCAGTGAAGAGGTCGCCCCCTCAAGCCTAAAGAAAGAAGCCAGCTTGGTTGGCCATTGGCTCCCATCAGAATCCTGGGCCAGCTGTGGCTGCCACCAGACCCCTGAGGCAGAGTCACCGGAAGCCGACCTCAGATCAGAGTGTGTTTTGAAATAGCTCCCGCAATGAGGCTGTGGCCCCCCGCTTCAGTTTGCAAAAGCTGGTGCTCTGGACGCAGCACCTCCCCATTCGCGTGGCCCAGGCTCCCCCATGTGCTTCTCTGTGTCCAAGTCCCTTTCCATGAGGACAGCAGCCATGGTAGGTTAAATCATTTAAACCTGATTCCTTCTGTAAAGACCCTATTTCCAAAGAAGAGCCCATTCTAAGGTACTGGGGGGTTAAGACTTCAACATATCTTTTTGGGGGACACAATTCAACCCATAGCAGTACCATATGAGTGCTCTTAAATAATTATATTGTTAAAGTCAAGAACTTTAACATGGGAAGAAAGAAAGGCGTTGTTATTAAAACTTAGGAGGTCTGAAAGGCAGTTCATCCACCCCCGTCTGCATTTCACACACAAAGAAACAGACCTGGGGGCCGGGGTCTCAGGGAGGCAGCGGTTACCGTGTTCGGGTGCGTACAGCACAGCGGCCCCGAGAAACGGTCTTGTGAGCCCATTTTACAGACAAGGAAAGTGAGGGCCAGAGAGGTGCAGGACGGCTGACTCAGTCCCGCCCCGTCCCCTGTAAAAGTGGCAATAGGGGAGGGACGCTGGGGCGCTTTTCACGCTGGGTTCATACCGGGGAACCTCAAGAACCAACTGAGAGAGTCAGTGAGGGGGCCTGGCTGGTCGGCAGCGACAGAAGGTAGCGTGGGGGCACGGAGGGCCGTGTTGGCGCTAGAAGGCATGACAGGCCCCGGAGGGCAGCCACTGTGGGAGGGGGTGTTGAGAGAGTCCCCGCCAGGGGCGAGGCAGGAAACAGTCCAGGCAGGCCCCGCGTCCCGTGGGCCTGTGCTGGGACGAATGCCACCTGCGGGCTGCTTGTGCCAGGCAGGGTTTCATCAGAAAAGCATCAAGCCTTTCCATTCAAAAGCAAGGACAGAAGTTAGAGCAAGAAGTTGAGCAACAGGGGGAGGAGATGGGCGGGTGGATCCGGATGTGGGACACTGCTCAGGACAGCTGACCTAGTTACCGCAACGTGTCCGTGGCAAAGATTGTCACCCTCAGTCCCGTGTCGGAAGTACCCGCGGGTGTGTTCGACACGGGGTGCCGGGCCCCACACCCCTCAGTGTCAGGTTGCAGGAGGCCTGGGGTGGGGCCCGAGGATCTGCATTTCTAACAAGTTCCCTGGTAAGGCTGCCCTGTCCTAGAGGGAAGCAAGGTGCGGCTTTGCTCCGAACTAAAAGACACTTAGACCCCGCGTCAGTTTGTCTTCGGGTATTCCATTCGCTCTCCAGCGCCTTGTTAGTTATTACGTTAGTGTTTGCCCTCGGGTTTACCGTTTGCATTTTTAACTTAGGGCGGTCTGCTTTACCATCGCTGGGCTGCGCACGGTCACAGGGTTCTGCTGCTTCACCTGTGACATAGGGTCCCCACCAACATCCTCCCTCCTCCCCGCCTCCATTCTGCCTCCATCCAGGTTACAAACCCTACCCTACATTGTTTTATCATTTAAAGGCATTTTAAAAGAAGGAAAAATGTCTCTCATATTTACCCACCCGTTGGCCATTCCCTTCCATAGATACAAGTCTGCTTCTGGCATCATCTTCCTGCCTTAAGGATTTTCTTCAACATTTCTTGTAATACACATCTGAAAACGTGTTTATTTTCTTTTTTTCAAAAGATATTTTCATATGGTTTAAAATTCTGGGTTGATAGGACTTTTTTTTTCTTTCAGCCTTCTAAAGATTCCATTCCAGTGTTTTCAACTTTATGTAGTTTCTGATGAGAAGTCTATTATTTTGTGTCTTTGTTCCTCTCCGCGTCTCCGCGTATATAAGGTATCTTGTTTCTCTGGCTGCTTTTATTTATTTTTATTTTTTGACTTTTTAAGTTTTTATTTTAGTTGCTGTGTAGTTGATATATAGTTTCAGTTTTCGGCAATATTAATTTCAGGTGTACAATTCAGTGATTCAACACTTCTGTGTATCACCCGGTGCTCTCCTTCATCCCCGTCACCTGTCTCCCCCATCCCCCCACCTCCCCTCTGGTGACCAGCAGTGTGTTCTCCAGAGTTAAGAGTCTATTTCTTGGGAGCTCCTGGGGGGCTCCGTTGCTCCATCGGTTGAGCATGTCTGACTCTTCGTTTCGGCTCAGGTCATGACCTCAGGGTCCTGGGATCCGGCCCTGCATAGGGCTCTGTGCTCAGCAGGCAGTCTGCTTGTCCTTCTCCCTCCCCCTGTTTGCTTGCTCTCTCTCTCTAAAATAAACAAATAAAATCTTTTTTAAAAAAGAGTCTGTTTCTTGGTTTACTGCTCTCTCTCTTTTCCCCTCTGCTCGTTTGCTTTGTTTCTTAAATTCCACATATGAGTGAAGTCATACAGTATTTGTCTTTCTCTGACTGACTTATTTCACTTAGCATCATACCCTCTAGTTCCAGCCACGTCATTGCAAATGGCAAGATTTCATTCTTTCTGATGGCTGCGTAATATTTCATTGTATATATGGACCACATCTTCTTTATCCATTCATCTGTCGATGGACATGTGGGCTCTTTCCATAGTTTGACTATTGTTGAAAATGCTGCTATAAACATCAGGGTGCATGTATCCCTTTGAATGTGTATTTTTATATTTTTAGGGTAAATACCTAGTAGTGCAATTACTAGATCATAAGGTAGGTCTATTTTTCTAATTTTTTAAATTTAAACTCAATTAATATATAATGTATTATTGGTTTCAGAGGTAGAGGTCAGTGATTCATCAGTCCTCTATAACACCCAGGGCTCGTTACATCACGTGGCCTCCCCAGTGTCCATCACCCAGCCCCCCATCCCTCCCACCCCTTTCCCCCAGTAACCCTCAGTTTGTCATTAAGAGTCTCTTATGGTTTGTCTCCCTCTCTGATCTTGTCTTGGTTTATTTTTCCTCCCTTCCCCTATGATTCTCTGTTCTGTTTCTTAAATTCCACATATCATTGAGATCATATGATACTTGTCTTTCTCTGACTGACTTATTTTGCTCAGCATAATACCCTCTAGTTCCATCCATGTTGTTGCAAATGGCAAGATTTCATTCTTTCTGATGGCTGCGTAATATTTCATTGTATATTATGGACCATATCTTCTTTATCCATTCATCTGTCCGTGGACATCTGGGCTCTTTCCATAAGGAGAGCTCTATATTTAACTCTTTGAGGAACCTCCATACTGTTTTCCGGAGTGGCGGCACCAGCCTGCTTTCCCACCAACAGTGCACGAGTGTTCCTTTTTCTTCTCTGGCTGCTTTTAAGATTTTTTTCTTCATCATTGGTGTTTAGCAGTTTGTTATGTTGTGTCTTGGTGTGGTTTTTCTTTGTGTTTATCCTGCTTGGGGTTCATTGTGAGTCTTGAATTGGTGGGTTTATAATCAAATTTGGAAATTTCTCAGACTTCTTTTCAATTTTTAAAGAAATATTTCCTGGGGGGCGCCTGGGGGGCTCAGTCGGTTAAGCGACTGCCTTCGGCTCAGGTCATGATCCTGGAGTCCCTGGATCGAGTCCCGCATCGGGCTCCCTGCTTGGCAGGGAGTCT